CGGCATCTGAGAGTGGCAGGAGCAGAGGTTTTGGAAGGAGGTCCAGTGAGGTGGTAGGTAGCGTGTCTGTGGGGCATGGGTGGGGATGTGGGACGGTCAAGGTCAGGGACAGTGTCCCTGACTGGCTTCCTGAGGTCTGCTGGGGGCTCAGAACCAGCCAGTCACGAGGTGGACTCTCTGCCTCTCCCTCGGCAGGCGCTCCTTCCTGTAGGAGCTTGGGCTCTGCGGGTGCAGCTGCCAGCTCACCAGGACATGGAAGTTGATCCGCTCACAGAGCTCCTGGCCGGAGGAGAGCAGGACGGCCCTGTTGGTGAATTGGTCCCCGCCCTCGTCCAGGTGGGCCCTCGGTGTATACCGCCTCTCGTCCATGGTGGCGTTGTATCTGATGCCTGCAGGAGGGGAGAGGGCAAGACCACAGAGGCGGAGCCACATGCATATCCAAGACTGTCTGCCTCCTCCAGGAAGCCCCCCAGGCTGGCCAGGGGACAGCTGTTCCTCTCTTCTCACAAGACCCAGGGTGGGTGGGAAACTGCCACATGGAGAACAAATGATTGCATGAGGAAGGGAAAGGAAGGAACCAAAGAAAAGGGGGAGGCGGAGGGTGGAGAAAGAGCAGGAGGAAGAAATGGAGGGAAAGTGAACACCACAGATGAGGGGAGACAGGATGTGGGCCAGGGCGGTGCCCTGGCTGCGTCAACATGCCCCTCTGCCTCTCCCTCCACCTTTCCTTTCTCTCCTTGGGCTCTGGGATCCCCCTTAGGGCTGGTCAGAGCCTTTGCTGGGTGCGTTCTCTCACACCAAGGAGGCCCCTTCCCTCCGGATCCTCAAACCTTTGACTCCACTCTGGGGCATAAAGCTTGCAGCCTCCTCCCCTTCCATCTGGTTTTGCCAATTCCAGGAAAGGCTCAGTCCCTTCTCCTGCACCCCAGCTGCCCCACAGGTTGCTCCTGGCCCAAGGTCCTCTAAGCTGTCTCCTCTCAGGGAGGGATGTTGAAAGAGAGGGGCACAGTCCCCAGGGCTGCTTTTGTTCTCTTCTTTATCTGATCCTGATGCTTGGCTGAGACACTCCCTGAGTCCCCATTTCCTGTGCCAGCACAGCAGTCCTGGAACCTGCAGCTCACTTCTTGAGACCACCTGGGCCCTGGGCTGGCATGAGCAGGTGTCTGATTCAATACTTAGCTGGAAGTGATGGCCCTTGGAAGGAAATTGCGCTGCTGGGGCTCATATCCACTTCTGAGTGGGGCTCCCTGCTGCTGGGGTCTCAGTGGCCTGGCCTCCGGGTTTCCTGCACCCCCTCTGTAGACTCCTGGGTCTACCTCTTCCCCTGCATCCAGGAGGACTTCTGGGCTGCCACACCCCATTTTGCTCCTCTGCCATCAGTCCTGTGTTCTGATCCAAACTCTGTGCCCAGACTGTCCTTCCTCTCCCGTCCTGTCTGTCATTATTGCCCCTGCTCACTGCCACCCTCACTCTGGCATGACATCCCCTCTTTGTCCTTTGGAATTACAGCACCAAATGGGATCCAACAGTCACCCAAAGTGGCTGTAGGGTGACCTGGCACTTAGCACCCATTTTGGGAAAAGCCCAGGCTTTGAAATAGAGCAAGATGCAGGGGGGAGGCTGGAGCTGGGGGATGGGGAGAAAGGAGGGGCCTGCTTTACCAACAGTTGTCGTTTGGAAATGGGGTGCCAGGAAGATGGGCGTGAAGCAGAGGAAGGCGGCCAGGCAGGTGGCATCCCTGCCACTTCGCTTGCAGTCCCTGTGGAAGATGTTGATCTTGGAGGGCTCAAAGTGGAGGCTGGCATTGATCTGAACCACAGGGCGGGACCTAGAGAAGAAGGGCTAGTGAGCTGGGGTGGGGCAGGGACTCAAGCTGCCCCGCTGTGACCATGGAGAAGGACAGGATCTGCAAAGCCACTGGAGGGGGTGAGGCGGAGGATGGAGGGGGCTTTGGATGTCAAAGGATTGGCAAGAGTGAGCACGGGGGATGAGGGGCTCAGCCACCTCATGGTCCCTCCGTGCAGCCCCTGCTGACTTCCCTTTGCCCCTCATCACCTTTTATAGCAGTGGTTTCCCCACCCTGGATGCGTATCTGAGTCATCTGAAGAGCTTAAAAAAATCCTGGTGCCTCAGCTACACTCTAGGCAAAATCACATCAGAATCAGGCCTTAGCAGGTTTCAAAGCAGTACCTCTGAAATTTTCATAAGTTTGTACGCCCCCTGGGGATCGTGTTAAAATGCAGATTCTGATCCAATAGCTTGGCACAGATTTTGCATTTCTAACAAGCTCCCAGGTGATGCTAACTTCCATGGACCACACTTTGAAAGAGTGAGGTGTGAACACTCCCCAGGTGACTCCAGTGTGCAGCTAGCACCATCCACCCCCACACTACCCCATCCAGGTAACCAAGGAAATACAAATTTACCCTTATATCCGTCTAAGTCAAATGTAATTAGGAATCTATTGTCTCTCCCAACCATGGATGTATGTACAAAGAAATACGAGTAGAGTGGCTTAGATGACCTGTGCTGATACTCTGTTCTTAGCATCAAGGGGGACAGTGCCTCTGTGCTGCAGAGTGAAAGGTTGGATTTGAGTCTAGGTTCCACTGGTTCTTCACTAGACCTTGGCAGGTCACATGATCTCTGTGATGGGGGATTGTGAGGATCAGGGGAGGTGAGAATGTCCTTTGACAGTGCGGAATGCTGTGTCAGCACAGCAGGTTACATCTAAGGTTCTCAAACCTGGCAGCCCATTGGAATCACTTGGGGAGTTTTGAAAAAATTACTGCTGCCTGGGTCCCTCCACAGTATTCTGCTTTAATTGGTCTGGGTAAAGCCTGGGCAATGACATTTTAAAAGCTCCCCTGGTGATCTAGGGCAGTCATGTTTGAGAACTATGGGGCTTGACCATAAGGTCTCCCCAGAGGGCTGTAGCCCACATCACTATTCAGGTGGCACACAGGTGTAGACTTCAAAAGCTAGAGCTGGATCCAGTCATTTCTGTGAAACTGATTCTCCTGGGGTGTGTATGTGCGTATGTGTATCTTGCTTCTGGAGTTTTGCTCTTGTTGCCCAGGCTGGAGTGCAAAGGCATGATCTCGGCTCACTGCAACCTCCACCTCCCATGTTCAAGCAATTCTCCTGCCTCAGCCTCCCAAGTAGCTAGGATTACAGGCATGTGTCACCACGCCTGGCTAATTTTGTGTTTTTTAGTAGAGATGGAGTTTCTCCACGTTGGCCAGGCTGGTCTCGAATTCCCGACCTCAGGTGATTTGCCCGCCTCAGCCTCCCAAAGTGCTGGGATGACAGGCATGAGCCCCTGCGCCTGGCCAGTTTGTGTTACTTTAAAGACCTGCTGGGTTCTGTGTACCCGCCTCCCCGGGCCTTGGTGATTTGCCTTGCTGTCTTGACTGGAACCAACACAGTGAACACCTTTACCATGCCTTGCAAGCCCAGGCTGCCGTTGCTGCCACCACTGCCACCACCAAGGACCTAAGAGCTGCCACATGTGGCACAGACCTTCAAAGAGAGACAGGCCATGCTCCTGGGCACTGGCTGGGCTGCACCTGCCCTGGCCCTGGCTTCCCAGTGCTGCCTAGAGGGCCAGGTGACATCACCAGGAGTGAGGGGTGGCAGATGCTCTGGCCTTGACAAGTGAGGGATCTGAAGGAGTCACGAGTCTGCTGCTCCCCCTTCTTCACCTACAATGGGCTGTTTTATGCCACATTGGAAATGCTGAGGGCTAAGTAAAGAGAGGCACACGTGGCGAGGCCAGGCTGGCCCGCTCACCATCTGCACTCCCTTCCAGCTTCACCTCTGTTTCTGGGATTGCACCCCACTCCCAAAGCATTCACAGAGGCTTTTGTCTCAGGCTCTGTTTTCTAGGGAACCTGGAGGAAGACATCTCCCTCTTGGGTTGTAGGAGTCTTGTGAACAGGAGCCCAGCCTTTCCTGTATTCTCCCTGTGAAGTTATAGATCTCTGTTCAATGCCTTTTTAAAGTTGTAGGGCAAATATGATTGCATTTGTATAAAATCATAAGTGGGGGGAAAAGGACAGGGAGGAGACACGCCACAATGTTAATAGTGGCATTGGTAAGGTGATGGCAGGCTGAATAATTTTTTTTCCTTATTTTATAAATGTTCTTTATGTTATTGTATCTATGATAAAATATATCTCATCAACATATTTGAAAAAATACTCAAGGTTTTTTGGCTCAAAAAGTAGCCAACATATGGTAAAATAAATGGGTGCTTAGGAAGCATGAAAATGAGCCCCTGAAGAAAGGAAGCAAGAAGTCAGAGGGCTTTGGAAGAAAGAAATCTCTGTACTAAACATTCCTCCACCGGGGGAGATGGAAGGTCCTCCCAGCTGGTAAAAATATGCTCAACTTGCTCCTGATGGTATTAGAGCTTGAAAAGCTGAAGCGGAAAGACATGCCTCAGTAGCCAGAACTTTTAGGACAAATTTTAAGAGTGGGGGCTTTTGGACAGGACTTCAATTTATATTGAATTTACACTGATTTCACAAAAAGAAAATGTGTAAGCAAGATGGGCTAAGAACAGGGTGAGTCTAGCTGATGGTTGTTCAAGACAAGGGACAAAGATCCTGAAGCCGATCTTTAAACCCCCTGCATTCATCATGACCTTCAGAAGAGCCCAGGAGGCGGGATCAGTGGGGGAACCAACCACAGAATCACAGCGTTGCCAAGGGTGCCCACTGCCAGGTCGATGAGCCCATCCTCATCGAGGTCCAGTTGCCCGTGGATGCTGCAGCCAAAATACTGGAGTCCGGTAGCCAGCTCTGAGGCTGTGATTCTCTGCAGGGAGTGGGGAGAGAGGGAGAGAGAGGGAGAGAGGGGGAGAAAAGGGGAGAGAGGAAGAGAGAGGGAGGGAGGAAGGGAGGAAGGGAGGGAGGAAGGGAGGGAGGGAGGAAGGGAGGAAGGGAGGAAGGGAGGAAGGGAGGAAGGGAGGAAGGGGGGTAGAGAGAGAGAGAGAGAGAGACAGACAGACAGAGAGACAGACAGACAGACATGCATGCTGTGAGTGTGGGGGCAGGTGGCCCTGAGCGGCAGAACAGTCAGGAGCCTGTTTGAAACCACCAAGAAGCTTCCCCAACCCAAAGCAATCTCCTCTCCTGGCCTGTCCTGGCACCTGAAATTCCTACCATTCAAGTCATTTTTTTGGATTAAGATATTGCATCTTAAAAGAGCTCCCTATTAAGTGTGAATACATGTGGCTTGGCAGGTGGCCCATCCACGTCTCTCACGCTGGTCTCTTTGTGAGGCTCTCTTACAAATAAACCGTGCGCGCAAAAGGATGATCCTCGGTGGGTGGGACCTGAGATGGGTGGGTTTTGAGATGAGCACAGTTTCTAGCATGAAGCAATTCCAGAGAAGGGCGAGCCCAGAAGGGATTCTCCTCTGGTAGGCAATGGCATGCGTGTGTGTTGGCAGGGAGTGAGGGTCAGGTGCCAGGGACCTGTTGTTTGTTGTTGCGGGGGAGTAAAGGCAAGCAGGAAGAGGGTGCCAAAGTGGGGGCGGCAGGATCCTAAAGGTAAACATGCGCCCTTTTTCAAAATTTCTGCTTAGGGGAAGCATGGCCGGGATAGACTGGAATCCGTTCCTGTGAGAGGGCGGAAGAAAATCCCGAACCAGAGGAGGCCCAGAAGCTCCTGGGTCTCCTGCAGTCCCGTTTGCTCTGCCCACTTCCCGGGGGTGGGGGGAGCCTGACCTGCTTTGGCGTCTTCAGGATGCTGCCCCGGAAGCCGTGGAAGATGTAGATGGCTCCCGCGTGGTTGTCCTCTAGGGGGGCTCCCACCACCACATCATCGAAGGAATCCTGATTGAGATCTCGAACCGAGGCGATGGAGGACCCAAATCGGGCATTCTGGTAACTGTGGGAATCCTTCAGCGTTCCGTTATAAACAAACCGGTTCTGCAAAACCGGGGGCAGAAAAAGGCTGGGGAGGGCTTGGTAAAAGTTCCTCAGGCTAATTCCCTGCAGGCTGCCCCGGCATCCTCTCCCTACTCCATTCCCCCAGAACCCCGTCTCTGGTACATGAGCCCAGCCGCGGAGGAGGCTCCGATTCTTCCCAGGCCTGGCTCCAGCACTGACCTTGCTGGTAACCCACTTCCCTCGTAGCTACCCATGTCAAAGCAGAGGTTGGGGGCCCCTGAGAAGCTGCCCGGGCCCCGCCCAGCCATACCTGTCTCAGCTCATAGACGTACACCTTGCCTCGTTCGCGGCCCTCGCTGAAGTACATGGGTGCGCCCACGAGCAGGACATCGGTCACGCCATCACCGTTGATGTCCACCGAGGTGATCTCACTCCCGAAGTAAGAGCCTATCTGCGCACATGATGGGGGAGAGGAGTGGGCTGGCTGCCAGTTCGCTCAGCCCAAGCCCTTGCCCCGCCAGCAAAGGGAAGCCAAGGCCATCCCGTGACTCAAAATTCTCCTTGAACAAATGGGTCCCCTCTTCTCAGGCGCTCCCTCTCCTCTCCCTCGGAGCCGGAGCCGACTTGCCTGTTCTGTTTGCCCTTCCCCTCTTTCCTCTTTTCCTCCTGTCATCATCCCCTCCCCACTCTTCTTTCTATTGTTTAATTTTATTGGTTGCCCTTTATCTTGTGTGTAAAGTGATATAATGATAAAAATAAGGAAAATGTTTAAAAGTATGCAGAAGAAAACAAAAGTTACCCATAGTCCTGACATCCAAATATAAGTACCATGAATGTTTTTGTGGATTTTTCTCTAGTTTTACTCCCCTGAGGCATGTTGCCTATTTGTACATGTGTGTATATATGTTTTTATTTTTACAAATTGGGGTAATAATGAAAATATAGTTTATATACTTATTTTTAAATAAAACAATATATCACAAACATTTTTCCATGATGTGTCATATTTTTGCCTATGACATGATCCCTGGTGATTCCACAGTGCTCTGAAATATGCACGTATCATAATTTTTTTTTGCTTTTTTGAGATGGAGTCTCACTCGGTTGCCAGACTGGAGTGCAGTGGTGCGATCTCGGCTCACTGCAACCTCTGCCTCTCGGGTTCAAGTGATTCTCCTGCCTCAGCCTTCCAAGTAGCTGGGACTACAGGTGCCTGCCACCACGCCTGGCTAATTTTTATATTTTCAGTAGAGATGGGGTTTCACCATGTTGGCCAGGACGCTCTCGAGCTCTTGACTTGGAGATCCGCCCGCCTTGGCCTCTCAAAGTGCTGGGATTACAGGCACGAGCCACTGCGCCTGGCCCGTAATGTATTTAATCAATTATTGCTGGACGGTTAGTTTGTTTTACATTTTTTTTTCCTTTGAGACAAAAGTTTTGCTCTATCACCCAGGTTGGAGTGCAATGGTGCGATCTTGGCTCATTGCAGCCTCGAACTCCTGGATTCAAGCGATCCTCCCACCTCAGCCTCCTGAGTAGCTGGGACCACAGGCACTAGCCACCGTGCCTGGCTATTTGAAAGAAATTGTAGAGATAGGGTCTTGCTATGTTGCCCAGGCTGGCTTGAAACTCCTGTGCTCAAGTGATTCTCTCACCTCAGCCTCTCAAAGTGCTGGGATTACAGGTGCGAGGCACTGTTTTTAAATTTTTGATGTTATAAATCATTCTGGCATTAGCATCGCGGCTGGTGGATTCTGATTTCTTTCAGTGTCTGAGAACCTGCTGTGTTCCCCTTCCTCTTGGGGTGCAGTCCTCCCCACTTCAGTGAGGGCACTACTCACCCCCCCATCAGAAACCCAGAAACCCTGACTCCGCCCTCCACCTCTCCCACCTGCAAACCTGCCACAAGTCCTACCTGGTGCCAGTTCAGCAACTGCTGCCCACCGCTTCTTCCCCAGGTGAGGCACCTTCCAAAGGGCCTTCCCGCCTCACGCTGGCCCCTTCAGCCCACCCCCATGGCAGCTGGTATGGCGTCTGACACCACTCCCCCTCTTGCTTTTGGGTTAGTATCTAAACTCTCCAGCAGGACTGTGCTGGACCATCCTCCCTTCCAAGCCTCTGTCTCCCCAATGCAGTGCACCTGGCTCCTGCCGAACTGAGTTATTTCTCTTCTCCAAAAGCCCCAGGCCTTGGCCGGCTTCTAGGCTTCCCTCTGCACAAGCTTTTCTCTTGCATGCCTCCTCCCCAGATCATCCCCTGCCATCCCTCAGGTCTTAGCTGAAGGGTCACCTCCTGCTAGAAACTGTCCTTCACCTTCTCGTTTCTGCTCCCTGCCCCTTTTCCATGCCCTCTGCTCCAGTCCTCCCACCAGCCCCCGTTCCCTCCGCTAGGAACCTCATGAGGGTGGGCACTGAGCCTGCTATGTTCCCTCTTGGCCAGGGTACTGTGCCTGGCACACAGAAGGTGCTTAATTAATGCTTATTGGATCACTGGGCTGCTTAGGAAAGGGGAAGGTGTCCTGTTTGTGGACAAGTCCTGTGTGGGATGGTTTATGGCCTTGGGTTAGCTCATGTGAGCCCCACGCTGCTAGGAGACAGAGTCATCCTCATTTTACAGGGAAGGAGCCAAAACTCAGAGAATGGGAGCTGCTTGCCAGGGTCAGAAGGCTGGTCACCTGGTCACCGCCAAGCTGGCTGGAAGTGGGGTCTGTCTGACACCCTGATCCATGACTCTGCCTCCCCCGCCCATCTCTGGCTTGGCATGTTTTCAGAAGAATTCTATTCTCAAGCATTAAAAGCTTTTAACTGAGGAGAAAGATAAAAGTGTGGAAGAGAGGAAAGGGAAATAATAGACACGGGAGGGAGAGGGAAGCCATGTGCCGACATAAAGTAACTAAGAAGCAGACAGCGAGCGAGTGACGGATGGGGAGGGAGAAATTTGTCTAAATACGTGGCCTCAGCTATGTGGGTCACCGCGATTTGGAATCCACTTAATTTAGCTGCCTTCAGCACTGCGGTTTCTTGTTCGGATGTTGGAGGCAGAACTGGGCAGGAAAAATGTCATAAATTCATCAGCAAGTTCCCTCTAGCTCCCAAGGTCTAGCCCTCAATTCCCAAAAGAGCTGGCTCTGGGTGAGTGTGGGCGGGCAGGGCGGAGGGTGAGAGCTGAGCTGCCCGGGGTGGCCCAAGCCCAAGAGGCAGGGAGGAACGGCAGGAAGGCGGTGTTCTGCAGCTAGAGGGATTTAGGTTAGACTCGGCAAGGAGCGGGTTCTCACGGTGACAGGCCAAGGGCAGTCAGAGATGCAGGAGACAGGGCTGTTCTCAGGCTCAGGAGAGCCAATGGGGACCTGGGGACAATACAGAAGGGCTTGGACAGTGCTCAGCTCCGGCCTAGAGAGAGCACGGATGCTGCCGGTCAGGAGGAGCCCAGGCCTGGTTTTGGGGTTGTTGGGGGTCAGGAGGAGCCCAGGCCTGGTTTTGGGGTTGTTGGGGGTCAGGAGGAGCCCAGGCCTGGTTTTGGGGTTGGGGGTCAGGAGGAGCCCAAGCCTGGTTTTGGGGTTGTTGGGGGTCAGGAGGAGCCCAAGCCTGGTTTTGGGGTTGTTGGGGGTCAGGAGGAGCCCAAGCCTGGTTTTGGGGTTGTTGGGGGTCAGGAGGAGCCCAAGCCTGGTTTTGGGGTTGTTGGGGGTCAGGAGGAGCCCAAGCCTGGTTTTGGGGTTGTTGGGGGTCAGGAGGAGCCCAGGCCTGGTTTTGGGGTTGGGGGTCAGGAGGAGCCCAAGCCTGGTTTTGGGGTTGTTGGGGGTCAGGAGGAGCCCAAGCCTGGTTTTGGGGTTGTTGGGGGTCAGGAGGAGCCCAAGCCTGGTTTTGGGGTTGTTGGGGGTCAGGAGGAGCCCAAGCCTGGTTTTGGGGTTGTTGGGGGTCAGGAGGAGCCCAGGCCTGGTTTTGGGGTTGGGGGTCAGGAGGAGCCCAAGCCTGGTTTTGGGGTTGTTGGGGGTCAGGAGGAGCCCAAGCCTGGTTTTGGGGTTGTTGGGGGTCAGGAGGAGCCCAAGCCTGGTTTTGGGGTTGTTGGGGGTCAGGAGGAGCCCAGGCCTGGTTTTGGGGTTGTTGGGGGTCAGGAGGTGGCATGATGCAGGCAGCACCACCAAGAGGGTTCTTGGCTTGACCCAGTCATGAATTTGCCATAGAACCCTGGAAAAGCCACACTGCTTCCCAGGACCCCCGTTTCCTCTGCGACGGAAGTGACTTGGATTGGAACCCTGTTTTCACCACCAATGACTCTTCTCATAGCTTTCCAATGTACGTCCATCACTGTCCAACATGGGACTCTTAGCACACAGTCTGGCTGCCAACCGCCTCCCTGCAGGGCAGTGCCACTGGCAGCCTTCCCATTCCGCATTGCTTCCCTTCCAGGAAAAGGGAAGGAGCTGGCATCCTGGAGGACCCATGGGGCCTCTGTGGGTGGATGCGCACTCCTGCCACTCCTGACATCATGAAGATGGCTGGAGCAACATGACTGCCCTTCGGGGCACCCAGTGGCCCAGGCATGCCTGTATTCACTGCCCCCCATTTGTCTGACCCGCCTTCTCTTCCGTCCGTCCCCGCCCCAGACTCCCCCTTCATTACCTGCTGGCCCCGCAGAGCCTGGTGGATGGTGAGGCTCCGGTTGCTGTGCATGGTAAACAGGATGACTTTGCCCGTGTGGTTGAATCGGGGGGCTCCAGCCACGTACACTCGCCCCTGCCTGGAGGACACGACCGATGTGACTGTGTACCCTGCCACAGGAGGAAACAGGCTGATCATTGGCACCATGTCCTCAGCAGGCCTTGCTCGGGCCTGGTGCGTGACTTGGCCATGCCAGAGGATGTGCCAGTGATGGGGTAGGTTCAGGGCCAGCTAAGCAGATTCAGTTGTGAAGGGCTGTGATTCCTAGGGGAAGCTGGGGAGGCCTGGAAGAGGCAAGGCCCAGGAGATGGGTTTGGAGGGTGGGGAGGACTCACTGCACGTCAGCCCTTGCTGGAGAAAATAAAGGGAGCCAGGTGGGGCTGCTAAAAGAGATCACTAACTTGAAAGGCTTACATCCCTCCTTCACCGGCTCATGAGCACGGCGGAGGGCAGCAGCGAGCAGGGCAGACTCCAGCCTCACTTCGTTTAATATTGGGAAGACTGTTTTTGTTTTCCACCAGTCTTCACCCTTGGGAACTAACCAGTATCCTCTTTATTACCACAACGCCTGCTAAGTGGCTCACCGAGGACTAGAGTGCTAGCCGTGAAAGTGGAAGGAATCGATCAGCTTCAGATATTTACATGTGGTCTCAGGGATCCTTGAAGCTCCAAAGCTTTGCAGACTCAAAGGAGGAAGCTCCTGTGAGTCCCATACATACAGCATGCC